GTGCTGGCATCCTGCTCCGCCCTTTCATCCTCCTGTCTGGACCTTGGGCAAGCACGTCGCGTGTTTCCCAAACTGCCAGGGCCTGCGACTCCAGCCGCTAGGTCGGCCATGTGGGACCGAGCTGCCTTAACCACTAGACCACCAGCTGGCCCCTTCCTGTCACCATAGACCTGAACGCTTTAGTGTCCACGTTGAGATGTGCTGTATGAAATACGGCTTTTCCGTTAAAATTGAGATGCAAACTACCTGTTTAAAAAATTCAGATGCTAAAATAATATTTGAAGCATATTAAGTTAAAACATTAGCTCTACCTCTTTTTTTTTTAAGAAGTATTTTATTGGGTCCAGTTGATGATTAAGGGTGCTGGATTCGATATGGCCAACCATGGTTCGAGTCCTGGACCAGGTGACTCGCTGTCTCACTTTCCCTTTCTCTCTCTCTGTTTCTCTCTGGTCACATTAAAAAATAATAATAAATGGAATTAAATAAATATATATTTTTTAAAAACGGTCCACCATGTGGGAGTCTCAGGCCTTTAACCACCACACCACCTGCCAGTCCCAAATTACTTTTTAACAAAGATGGCTACTACAAAGGTTTTAGTATGTAGATTGCTTGGGAGGGGTCTTGAGCCCCAGATTGCCAGCCTTTTTTTTTTTCTTTTTAACAAACATCCTTGGGACCAGTAGGTGGCGTGGTGGTTAAGGCACTGGAATTCCCATATGGTCAACGGCACTTCGAGTCCTGGACCTGGCGGCTTGCTTTCTCACTCTTCCTCTCTTTCTTTAGCAAAATTCATGTGAAAATAATAATAATAAATTAAATAATTCTTAAAAAAAAAAACATCCTGGGGCCAGCAGGTGGCGTGGTGGTTTAGAGCACTAGACTCCCACACAGCTGACTGCAGTTCAAGTTTTGGACCTGGCGGCTTGGTTTCTCACTTTGTTCTCTCTCTCTCTCTCTCTGTGTCTCTCTGGTCAAAGAAAAATAAAGTTAAATAAAATAATTCTTAAAAAAAATCCTTTACCACAGATGTGCATGTCACACACACACACACACACACACACACACACACACACACACACAGCCAGAGGGCAAATGTTTCTATTACCTTTGAGCACTGAATCCTTGCCAAGTAATTTTCCATTCTGGAAGTGGTGGGAGCACAGACCCACCATGTGAGGGCTGGAGAGCAGGCATGGCCTAAGGTGGCTCTCCTGGGTCCTGGGGAACAAAGTCCCCGAGATGCCTGAGGCTCCTTCCAAATAAGGCTGCTCAGGCTGCCTAGTGGCTTCAGGGCCAGACGGGGAACTGGGGAACCGTGTAGTTGTTAAAGTCCCCTCTGCCCTGGTTGCAGGTGGAAAGCAGGAAACTTGGGATCTAGAGTCATAGCACCTCACTGCCTGAAGGACAGCGACCTTCAGGGACAGGAGGGTCCCAGCTCTGAGGCCTGAGCCCCCAACACTCTTTTCTAGCATGACATGGCTCAGAGACCCCACGTCCCCTTTTCCAGGAAAGGGGCCTCCTCAGGTGGACAGTGGCAAGTTGCCTGCCTCTTGGAAGAGGCTGGACCCAGCTGAAGGTGACGCTGGGTGGGATTACTGAAGGGTAGGCTTGGGGGGCGGAGGGGAGCCCCATTGAAGGCATGCAAAACTCCTCGGGGGCAGTTTGGAAAGCAGCTGCCCAGTGACAAGACTGTTCACCTGACTTACACAACTCTTCACCCCTCTTTAGGCTGGAAACGGGGTGCTCTAAACTCCCCAAGTGCTCTGAAACCCTGGGGCTTTGCAGGTGCATGGTGTCCCCTCAGGGTCCTATTAATGCATCCGGCCATAGGGTACTGCTCAGGGCTTCATTTCACAGCTGGAGTCCGAGGCCCATGGAATCCCCTCCACAGGTGCAAGGTCAAGGGGACACTGTGGCCTGTTGTCGGGCTCTGCACCTGGCTTGTGGCTGCGGGGTCAGTGAGGACGACCTGAGCAGCACCCGTGGGGCGGTCTGCACACCCTTAGCACTCCCTCATCCCGCCCTCCCCTGGAAGTAGCAGGCACCAGAACGCCAGCCTCCTAGGTGGCTTCACCCTCCTCCGGCTCGTGGGTATGAAGCTGGGCCTGCTGGAGAACACAGCAGGATGTAGGAAGCGAAAAAGGGAGCTTTGGGGAACGAATAAGGAAGAAACAGCTGGGAGTTGTGAGAACCCCAGGAAAACTACTCCCTTTGTCCTGAGGACCTTCTAACAAAACCCAGCACAGCGGGCTCCGTTAGCTGGCTGGGCAGCACCGCCATCTGGTGGCCACCCAGGGCATAGGCTCTTAAAAAGAAATCCAAACTGGTCTAATTCAGCGGTAAAAATCAAGGTTGAGGCACTGGATTTTCACACGACTGACTGTGGTCAAGTCCCAGATCCGGCGGCTTGAAAATCACAATTCTTTTTATCGATTTATTATTTATTTATTTATTTAAAGCCCAAGGCTTTCCCAGCCTCCCCTGGCACACATTGGCTCCTGTCCAGGCAGGTCAATCCCAGCAGGAGGCTGCGCTGCCCGTGAACTCCAGGCCATGTGGACACCTCTCACTGGGCAAGAGTTGACAGGGTCTGGAAGGTTTAGGCACAGGTCTTTCCAGAAGAGTTGTTTTTTCCAGGCTCTCAGCCCCATGTTACAACCAGCAGTCGCCTGAAGTCATCCAGGGCACAGGGACAGGGATGGGAGATGATTCTGGGCAGGGCCTCAGTTACTACCACCCGAGGTGACACCCTTTCCCCAAATAAGCCTGTCATCTGCCTGGTAAGAAGTTGCCAGCTCAGGAAGGACACAAAGGCTGTGCATGTGTTTTCTTTATTTTTTAAGAAGTTTTTGCCTTAGGGCACAAGTGCTTGCTAGAGAGACAGACAGTGCAAGGGAAGGTGGAAATCACCCTCCAAGGGGGATGGCCACACAACAAGCCTTTCTCTTCTATTCTTTTCTGGGATCTTGGGCATGTACACGGGCAAGGCTTGATTTTCAAGTCATCGGGTCTGGGACTCAAACTGCTTTTGGCCATGTGGGAGTCCAGTGATGTAACTGCTATGTCATCTGCTGGTCTCACAAAGAGTGTTTTTTTTTTTTTTTTTTTTTTAGATTTTCGCTATAGGGCGCGTGTCCAGACAGAGAGAGACAGAGAGACAGAAAGTGAGAAATCACCCCCCAGGGGGGGTGGCCACGCCACAATCCCTTCTCCTCCATTCTCCTCTCGGGATCTTGGGCACGCACGCACACGTGCCTGGCGTGAGTTTTAAGCCACCGGGTCCAGGATGCGAACCGCGGTCGACTATGTGGGAATCCAGCGACATAGCCATCACGCTAACTGCTGGTTCCCACAAAGAGTGTTTTTAAAAACGGGGTAAGAATACTCATGGGAACTTTTATTGATCAAGGTCCAGCCATTTGCCAAGGTATATACACATTTTATTTAAAAAAGTTTACAGTTTTCATTATACACAACTATTAAGAGGTTATAGTCAGAGGCGGCATTTGTCCTGTTGACAGACGTGCCTACTAGATCATCACAATGCAAGAAAAAGGTGAAGGGGAGGAGAGGGCGAGAAAAAATAAGCGACCAAAAGCTTAGATTTCAGTGAAGGGCTGGTAAGGCCCTTTTCTCTCTTCAAGTATCACACACTATGTACCAAATACAATCAGTAAATAGTGGCCGTTTCCTGCCAGGCTCCCAGCCGAGACCAGCATTTGCTAAATTAGGAGCCCTGGCTCTTCCTCAGGTGAGTGGAAACCTGCGATACCGAGGGCTGTTAACCTGCCCTTCCCCAAGGGCCCCACCCTGCCCAATCCCTCATGGGATCGCCAAGGCGGCCAGTGGTGGAGGAAGCATGAGCAGGGACTCGCGGTTGTGTGCGCCCCATCGGGAAAGGATTTGATTTCACTCAAGGCTGTGAACCCAGTTAGGAAGTTGATAATGAAGTGGAAGTCTTTGCTAAACGTTTGTAAATGGCTTCCACCTTTCTAATCGAGCCACTGAAACATAGTAGGGCTATGTGTCTCTTAAAATCTGATACTAGTTCCCAGAGACTTGCTGCCCAGAAACCTGAGCCCCGGAGGCCAGCAGTGGGTCCCTTTGTCGTGATTCTCAGCCCTCTCGGTAGGAGACCTAGTAAAATGCAAGTGTCAGGCCAAGCCCACAGGGCTTCAGGGAGCAACAGAGGGAAAATTCCTTTCAGGGGAGACACTTCTCAGGAGCTTAGAACAGCCAGTTGGCAATAACAACAGCTTTTGAAGTGGGGGGAAAATGTTAGGTACCTGGAGAGATTATATGGCAACTTCTGATAATGATCTCACGAATAAAAAATGCTGGTTGCAACTGCACAGTAACCTCGAGGAGGGCGATGAGACTGAAGACAGAAGGCCCAGGCACCAGTGTCTGGGCCGACTACCGCCGAGCACGAGCCTCAGGCCCTGCCTGGGCCTCTGGAGGCTGCGGGTGCAGCGCCGCAGTGTCTCGCTTGTTGGTGTCTGGCAAGAGCTCGAGCTCAGTCATTCAGACAGGGGCTGAGAAGGGCCGGTAACCCACAAGGTAGGATTCAAACCCTCTGGGTGCTAGGGAGGGAGGGGAGACGGCCTGCAGCCGTCCTGACCTCTGGCCACCACCCTGGCAGCTGAATGTGCAGCCTTCCCCAGGACTCTGATGCTCTTCTGAGTCCAGGGAGGAACCACCCTGGGCAACCAGGAAGCGGGCTCCTGTGTCCAAACACCCCTTCGCTCCTTGCTCCAGACTCTCCCCCATCTATCGCTGGGGGCCCAGATCCACAGCCTGGTCCTCGTCCAGCTTCCCTGTACCTGTAAGAGTCCTGATTCACAGCCAGGTCCTCGTCCAGCTTCCCTGTACCTGTAAGTATGGTCTCCTACACTCACCTCGCCCAGGTGCAGGGAAGAGACTAAACATTAGTGTAAGAAAGGATTCTGCTCACCCTATCAGAGGCAATTTCCCAGAGGACAGGAAAAGCCCCACACGGCCCAGACATGCATGGGAGCAGTTAGTGCCCAGAAAGAACACGGAATGCGAGAGTACGGTGTGATCTGAGTGGCAATGGCAGGTGCTTCCAAAGCTAATAGAGAAACCTAATTACACCTTCACTCAGGCTTGGACAGACAGACACGAGGACACACACACGCACACACACACACAGACATCACACACTCCACACACCTGCCTAACCCCCGTACCCTCCCACACCGAGTCTTCATCTGGGAGTTCTGCACCACCGGCTGCCTGACGCTGGAGCTCTGGATTGGAGGCAAACTGAGGTTCCTCTGTGGCAGAGAAACATGGCCGCTCACATGGCTTCCCTCACCTTGGTTCTACGCATTTTTTGGACAGGATCAACAGCAATTATCATCTGGACATTACTTTTTGGAAAGGTAATTAGAACACTATTGTTTATACAATATTGAAAAAATACAATTTTTTATTGTTTGAACTCAAATCACCACCCAGCACTTTAAGCCTACCCTAAATAGCACCTACAAGAAAGGTTACAGCACAAGCGAACTGCTGGTTCACCAGGTGAAAAGCACAAGCGAACTGCGTGTGCAGCAGGTGAGCAAGGTCGACAGGCCAGCAGACACCCTCCCTCCCCCAAGCAATGAGAAGACAGCGTGCTAGGTTAGAGTTAAAGTACACCAGTACATGTTAAATAGTTAATACTACCCTTCCGACAAGCCACAAATGCTAGATAGGTAACTCAGTGCGGTTAACTAACCACAGCCCTACGTAACTGCACTTTTTTTTTTTTTTTAAAGAAAACCTTTTGCTTCATGCCCGTAATTAACATAAAATAAGTAAATCTTTGTCTTTTTATTTAGGAAAATAATCATGCTAAAAGCAAGTTGTACTTTATATAGATTTTTTCAAAGAAAAGATTGATTGTGCTTTTTGAATTAAAAAAAAAACAAAACAAAAAAAAACAAAAGATAGGGTATCTTCTTCCAACCTCATTGACTTAATAAGCCTTGTGGAATATAGCACTTCTAAACTAAAAACACATCAAAAAGAAAAATTAAATTATCCCGGTGGGACATTCAACAATTGTCTTTAGAAGGATTTTAGATTGGCTAATTCTGGTATGTCCTGTTGGTTGCAGCAAATAAAAGCATATCGAGCTGCTGTCCGAAACTCCTCCAAACTCCCCTCTCCCCATCAGGCAGCACTCGGGTTTGAAAATGCGGCAACCTGGACATACGGTTAGCTGAGCAAACATGTGATTAGCAGGCATTTGAAACTGTCTCATTTCCTCTTACGTACACAGGAGAGAGAATTTTCTTCCTTCAAAACCCATTCTACTACATCGTATTTCTGAATCCCTTCCTCCTATTCAGTCGCACTCTGAAAAAAACTGTTTTTCCCATATAGAGTCATTTGGGTATAAGAACCTTTATTTGTTCCAGTTACTATGCATTTTCAGTTTAGAATGTATGTTGGGTCTCAATACTCACTTCCCACTCCCACCGTAAGATGATGACCAGGCTGCTGTCAGGAGCAGCAGCGGAAGGGACAACAAACCCAAAACATGAACGAGAGCACCCAGGGCTTCGCGGCCACTGGCCGGTCTTCTTCCGGAGTCTAACCGCCCACCGGGCAGCTCATCCAGGGAGGAGACTATCTCTTTCTAGGTGAGGATTAAACCTGCAACCTGTCTAAGCACAATTCACACACCCCCCCCACCCCCAAAAAACCCAAAACCAATCAAACAAAAACCACCCTCAAATGTAAAGCTCGCAGTCCAAGGTAGCAGCTCACATCGGCCCAACGCCAGGACGGAGGTATGAGTGCGCGCGTCCCGGTGGGAGGGAGCATCTTCCCAGCCGCTCTGCTCCTCCTGCCCTGTCCTTTCCAAAAAGGTCTGGCTTACTAAGCTCTACCTCTCACAAGAAAGAATGGGATTCAGAAACACTTCCAAAAAGTTCTCCAAAGCAAAACACTTGTGGCTTCAGGGCCTGGTAGCGTGAAGGGCAAGAATCTACATATAAAAATGTACTTAAAATCCCAGTCAAAAAATTATTTTCAGTACTCCAATTAGCTCCCTGTTTGATACTGTTACTCCTCAGAAATGGGGACACCCAGGGTGCTCAGGGAGGGGCAGCTCCGATTCCTACCTGGCTGACTCCACGCTCCCCCAGCAGGCCTCTTCCTCCCCAGTTGTCGTCTTTCCATTTTGAAAAAGCACTATTCTATCTTCACATCCAACAGCTGGTTGGTTTGGTTTGTTTCTTTGGAACAATCAATAAAAGAAGCAACTTTTTCCTGTTTGTGTTTTTTTTGTTTGTTTTTGTTTTTTTTGTTTGTTTTTGTTTTTTTTGTTTGTTTTTGTTTTTTTTGTTTGTTTTTGTTTTTTTTTTTTTTTACTCATGTCTACCTATCAGAGCGGCTATTTCTTTTGACAGTTCAGTAGCACACAGGCTGACTTGGCCAAATGGACTTATGAATGCATGCATTCGGACCGCATATTGCTACCAAAATGGAATGTGGGAATATGCTATGCACCTCAGGTTGAGAAATGACCAAGAAATCAAGATCTAAAGGGTGATATATAATATATATATCAATGCTATTATTCATAAAAACCTTGTTTAGTAATAAAAAAAATTGCTTTGTTTAAATATGAATATTATAGTCTGCTTCTCATGGTTAGGAAATAATAGTCTTTCTGAAAAGCAGGTGCTTTTTCTACTACAACTCCATATCCTGGGCCTCATCTTCCGAAAAGTCAGACATGGAACTCTCCGACGAGCTGTCGCCGGTGCCCTCTTCCTGCTCCTTCAGCGCCTCCTCCGTGGCGTATTTCTGGATGTACTCTGCAGGGTGGGGAGGAAGAAAACGCAGAGTGGTGAGTGGGCGGGCAAGTGCTTCAGCCACCACCACTGCCTGCTCAGTCTCCAGACAGGGAGGTTCAAACCTGCCTCTCACCCCAGGGGCTATCCTGGTCACCAACGCTAAGGGGGATCCTCAGGGAGCCTTGTTTGGCACAAACTTCACACATTTTTCCCTCTGCTGGGAAGGGATTATTAAGAAGGGAGGGGAACCAGCAGTTAGCTGGTAATGGCCAAGTCGCTGGACTCCCACGTAGTCGACCGCGGTTCGCGTCCTGGACCCGGTGGCTTAAAACTCACGCCGGGCACGTGTGCGTGCGTGCCCAAGATCCCGAGAGGAGAATGGAGGAGAAGGGATTGCGGTGTGACCATCCCCCCTGGGGTGTGATTTCTCGCTTTCTGTCTCTATGTCTCTCTCTGTCTGTCTGGCGAGCGCATGTGCCCTATAGCGAAAAACTTCTCAAAAAAAAAAAAAAAGAAGGGCGACCCAGAATGCTTGACTTGCAGGGGAGAACAGCGCACCAGCACACCACAGGAACCTGTGAGGGACTGGGGAAACGGGAACCCCACATCTCCTTTCTACTTTGTCTCGTTCAGAAGGCTTACCTCCCAGCGAGAACAGGGCTAGTTATGATTCCACAGTCATTTATAAGGAAATCCCCCATCATTTTTAGACTTGCAGTTATGTAATTATAGTCGGCCTAGATCTATTATTGAAGGAATAGATTTTAGTCTAAACAGACCCTGCCTGTCAGGTCTCTGAGGCAGCTGGTAGAAAGCGTCTTTCAACCTGCTCAATCTGAAAAAGCTGCTATACGGGGTACACAGCCAGCCCGAGTGATTTTACATGTACCCGTCACCTAGAGGTTCGTACTGCTGTAGCCTAGGCTGAATGTGCGGGCTGGGAAGAACTGAACGAACTTGCTCCCCCAAACTCTAGGTGCATACTGTGTTCAAGTAAATAGCCTCTGCGCAACTGGAGAGACCAGACAGGCCCCAGTTGGAATGCAGACCAACTAAAACACTTCCTAGGGTGTCCCCATGGAGTGACTGGGACTGACTGCAACAGGCAGATAAGAAAAATGGCCCAAGGGCTTACTAAATGGAGTGACCACTGCAGGAGTCCAGTTACGATAATTTGTGTGTGTGTCCAAATAATTTCTAATTGCCAGAGGGCATATGCAGAGAGGGGAAAAAGCACCCCCCAGTCACGTGACAATCCCTTCTCCATTTCTTCGTCCTGCTGGCACGCACGGACATGAGCCCAGTGTGCTTTTCACACCACTGGGTCAGGATTTGTACCATGGTTGGCCACGTGGAATCTGATTCCATTTTACCACTAGGCACAGGGCTGGCCCTATTTTTGTATATTTTATTTAAAATGATTATTATTGTTATTTTTAAAAATTTGCTATAGGGCATGAGAGAGAGAAGGAAAGTGAGGAAGAAAACTTGAACTGTGGTCGGCCATCTGGGAGCCCAGTGCCTCAACCACCATGCCCCCTCTGGCCCCTATTTTTGTATATTTTAGAAGGGTGTTTAAATGTGTCTAAATCTAACTTTACATTAAATGCCTGCAGACTTGTTACTTGGAGCCCTTAAAATCCATTATAAATACATTTTATGTTCTGATAATATTAAACTAACTCTTGGTTAGGTAGGTAGGAATTTACCTTAACTACTTTTTAGAACAAGAGAAATGTTCATTAAAGCCTCAGAAATTTAGCCCAGGCTTGGTGGAGTGAGGTGGCAGTGTACTGACCTGCAGTGCTGGGAGCATCAATTCCCACCACGGCACTGGGTCCCAGGTCACCTGGAGACATGCCTGCACACAGGCCAAGATCTTAACTAGCTGGGACCAGCAGTTAGTGTAATGGCTATGTCGCTGGACTCCCATGTAGTCGACCGTGGTTCGAGTCCTGGACCCAGTGGCTTAAACTCACTCCAGGCGCGTGCGTGTGCGTGCCCAGGATCCCGAGAGGAGAAAGGAGGAGGAGGGATTGCAGCGTGGCCATCCCCCATGGGGGGTGATTTCTCGCTTTCTATCTCTCTGTCTCTCTCTGCCTTTCTGGTGAGCGCACGCGCCCTATAGCAAAAACCTCTCAAAAAAAAAAAAAAAAGATCCTAACTAGCTCAAGTGGGAAGGGAATCATGGTGTCATGAGATGCCTTACAGGGCGCACTCCTCTCTCTCCCTCTCTTGCTCATGAAAAAAATAAACTATTAAAAAACCAAAACCTGTCTCCCCCTCCCCCAAATGGGTTGGCTATTCGGCTCGTCCCTGTGTAGAAGTTACTGCACACTGTTTTCCTGACGCTGTAACACGATGCTCTCAGCCTCCTGTGGTATATTCACAGAGATAAAGGTATTCCGAGTGCTTGCTGAGACGAGGCTTCTCAGGAGGGGGAGAAATGAGGAGCAAGGTCACTAAGGCGGAGAGGAAGCAGGCGAATCTGTAGGCAGGAGGCGAAGCTGTAGGCAGGAGCTGCTCCCTGTCATGAGAGGTGGCAGGGGTGAAAGGGCCAGGAGGGTGGTCACAGCCGAGCTGACCCATGGCTCTGTCAGCTGCAGCCTAGGAGAGGCTATTCCAGGGGAAAGGCGTGTCTATGCAAGAGTTGAGTGGTTGGATAAAATACATCACTAAGAGCACTGTTTGTGATAGTCTTTAAAAATATTTGAAGGAAACAAGGCAAAATGTAAAGGTTTTATCACAGTGGGATAGTGGGTATGTGGTAGTTACGATGTTCTCTGTCTTCTGTACTTTCTGTGACTAACGGAGGAAGTGAAAATACATATGTACCTGAAATTCATCTATTTTTTCTTAATTTCTCTCTTATTTTTTCGTTAAGTTTTTGCCATAGGGCACATGCACTCACTAGAGAGAGAGAGAGAAAAAAATGGTGAGAGGGAAAGTGAGAAATCACCCCCAGAGGGAATGGCTACACTGCAATCCCTTCTCCTTTCGGGATTTTGGGCATGCACGCACACACGCACACATGCACGCACGCACACACACACACACAAACACACACATGCCCAGTGTGATTTTCAAGCCATCAGGTCCAGCATTCAAACTGTGGTAGTCCAGAGCCTTAACCACCATGCCACCTGCTGGCCCTTCTTTCTTTCTTTTTAAATTGCTTTCTTTATTCCATGAGTGAGTAAGTGAGAGAGAGAGGAACCCCAACAGAGTTTTGACACCATAATCCACCCCTCAGCTTCAGCGTGGATCACGAGTGAGCCTGCGCCCGTATATTTGGGAAGGTCTCCGGATTGAGCCAGAAACCTCCCTGTGTGGGACTACTTCACAGAGTGCCACACTTCACTACTGTGCCACTGTGTGGCTCTACCACTTTCTATCCGAAACTCGCCTGACCTGGTGCACTGAGAGGAGGAGAGGCGAAGATGTAGATTACATTTGGTATTAGAGAGCTTTGCACGGCAGCTAAGCTTTGCCATTTAGCAAAACTTTTTGAGCAGGGCAATGACATCTCTTTTGACCGCTCCAAGAACATCTGGTTCTACATGCTGTCCAGCACCTCCGGTGTTTTCAAGCACGCACTGTGAAACAGCACCACTGAATGTGAGCGCTGACTAGCGCTCAGGGAAGGGTCCCAACACTGCCCTGTGAATGAGGTGTGTGCGGCTTATGGGGGTTATCACATCTATGGAAATGTCGAGGGGGCCTGGGGAGAGGTCAGGCCCAGATACATGTCTCTGGGAATCACCTATCTGGAGGGGGCTGAATGAAGCGCTGTGTGATGGAAGCAAGCTCCCCAAGGGGTGGGAGAGGGAGAGAGTGAACATAAGGACCAAGTCTTAAGAGGATGACCACATTTATAAAATGAAATGAGGAAAGTCTCAACAAAGGTAGGGGATAAAATACTAAAGCTTCAGCGAGGTCCAGGAAAATGGGACTCAAAAAGGGTCCACAGGGTCAGGAAGAAATGAGGTCTGAGAGCAGCAGAGGGAAAACACATTAGACTGGAGGAGTGCAAGGCGAGGAAGCAAGTACTTTGGAAATGAAAGGAAGTAAGTCACGGGACCCCACAGGGAGCCCGCAGGAGCAGATGAAGGCTCTGAAACGGAGACTCTGACAGCCAGGTAACGGAAGATCTGTGCTGGGAGACACAGCTGGGGAACAAGATCGGGGCTGGTGGGGAAGCGAGTCTGAGAAATGAGGCAGGACCTCTCTCCTAACCCCCGCAGGAAAGAATGAAAAGATGGGGAGAAGATATATATAAGGCGCAGCAGGAAGTGGGGTTGGTAAGCAAGCTGGATGGCCTCGATTCTCTCAGATCACTAAGGAAGACAAAATGAGTGCTAGCATTACCATTACAGAAAGCCAGGGCTCTCTCGGCTACAGCCAGCCATTCTAAGACAAACGTGGGTTATAACTGGGACTACAGCAGACATGTACTAAACAGGGCCAGTGTTGCATTGCTAGGGCAGAATCTTAGAATGACAGAAATAGACCTTGCACTGGGAACAGCAAGCGGTATAATGTTTAAGGTGCTCGATTCCCACGTGGCCAACTGTGGTTTGAAAATCACCCTCGGTGTGTAGGCATGCATGCTCAAAAGCAGTTTGAAAATGAAAGGAAAGATATACCAAGGATCCTAAAGAGCCCACAGGATCAGATAAAGGGAGCCCATAGGAAACAGGGAGACCTCGGACAGTGGGGTAACACAAGAAGACTGTGCTGGAAGAAACAAGTGCTCCTCTTCTAAGAGGGGAATGGAGGAGAAGGGATTGAGGTGTGGCCATCTCCCCTCTTCCTCTCCCCAACCTCCGTACAGGGTGGGGAGTGGGGATAGTGGGAGATTTCTCAAGTTCCCTCTGTCTCTCCAGTAAGCACATATACCCTGTGGCAAAAACCTTAAAAGAACAAAGAAGGTATCCTTGGTTTTGAGACACTTAAGTGATTCCTGTATCTAAATGTTAATATAGTCTCATAACAAGAGAGAAACACATGTTTGTTTGGCTATGTAGATATTTTGCTGCCTAAATTAGATATAATTTGAAAAGCACTTGAGAGCTAAGTAAATTAATCGCAGTAGGTTAACTTCTACTTTAACTCAACAAAAGCTCCAAACAATAACCTACAGAGACCTGGGAAGAATGAGTAAATAAACAGAAGGGAAACTGTTGTTCAACAAACTCCTGAATGTGCCTGTCTCATTCCTACACAGTTCAGAGTGAAAGCCTATATATTCAAGCTCTTGTAGATTATATTTTTACTGCCATCTCTTGCAGCTGTACCTTAAGGGGCCACACATTCTGAGGAAGCCAATGATCTGGACATCAATAGACAGGTAGTGTTAAAAACTGGGTAGCTACCAAGGCCTACCACTTGTTAAAAAGAGCAGGCAGGGACCAGCAGATGGTGAAATGGTTATGTCACTAGACTCCCACATAGTTGACCCGAGTCCTGGACTTGGTGACTTAAAACCTATGCTGGGAATCATGTATGTGTATACATGCCCAAGATCTCCAGAGAAGAATGGTGGAGGAAGGACTGCAGCATGGCCATCCCCCTAGGGAGATGATTTCTTGCTTTCTGTCTCTCCGGAGAGCACATGCACCCTATAGCAAAAATCTTTTTTTTTTTTTTTTTTAAAAAGAGCAGGCATGTTTTCATAAACTTGGAATCACCTTCCCTTTTTGGAGAAGCCGTAAGTACTTGGACATTTTACTATGAAAGTTCTGAAACACACATGGAGGTAAACAGGACAATTGATGAATACCAGTAAATCCACATGGTGCTTCAAATGTCCTTTAGCAACCTTATTTTCATTTAAATGACATTCATACTAGTACATAAACTGTTTTAAGAATGGGAAAAGAGAATTCTATTGGCAGATCCTGAAGGATGGGAAAACTGGGGCTACTATCAACAGCACGAGGAGCTGGTGAGGGCTCCTTCAGCCTGCAGCTGTCACTTCATAGGCCCCGGAAATGGTTAGAAACTGAGTAACTTAAGGGAAAGTCCAAGAGGTTTTAGGTTCTTCTGTCTCCAGGTTCAATTCTTTGCCTTCTTACCTTTAATTTTCTGCTTGTATTCTTCTGGTCGGTGGAGGTACATGGCTGCAGCATCGCCATTGAGAGGATCTATGGGGTTAGGATAGGCCAATAACTGGGGCAAGAAGGACTCAAATATATTGGTAAGATCTGAAAAAACAAAAAGAAACACGTCATACCCAGAACACGCAAGTTCACCCAAAATTCACTTGAATGCTTACTTTCTTAGATACTGAGCTACAGCAAGATGATTTTTCCATAAAAGTATGCTCCACTACATATAGTCTACATTACATATCTATTTCAATATTAAAGCTTTTAAAATTTAATTTTAACTTGAAGAACCAGGAAAAGATAGACCTGATACTCATTGAAAGGCAATTTAAAAACCCTCACTCTAAAATATTCAAAAGTGCCAGATTTTAAAATGTAACTTTATAGGATTTGACATTGAATGCAATTCTAACTTGTAACAGAGGTAAATATAATCAGTTTTCAGATACTCTGGGTAATGAGGGTCAGAACTGATGAGGACTGCTTAAAACGCTATGTAATCGTATGACAAAAAGCACCAATTGCTGCATTTACTTATGAGCATTTTAATAAACGGTCACTCCCATTCTGCCTACACACGCAGTGAACAGAATCACCGGAACCCCGCAGCTGCGCAATGTTTATAAGGGAAGCAGGTCCTGAGAACCTGGGTGTAACACGCCCCCACTTCCACATCTGTGCATCAGAACTGCTGTGTCGTCCACTCTATCTGCTCCTCCGCTGGCGGACAATGACCTGAGCTCCCACTCCTCTGCCCCACTCTATCTACTCTTCATGGTTTGTATACACACTCCTGCTTCTGGAGGAAATGCAAAAGCACAGTTAGCAGCACAAAAACTACTCTCTATTTTGCTCTGTCAATGAATTCTTTTAAACGTCAAGTGCGCCTAAGCAGTATTACAGATAAACTCTTTGCCAAGCCACATCAGAGGTCAGTGGGTTTCAGACAGGGGTGATTCGGTAATGTCTGGAGACTATTTTTTTTTGAGAGATTTTTGCTATAGGGCGCATGTGCTCACCAGAAAAACAGAGAGAGACAGAGAGACAGAAAGCGAGAAATCACCCCCAGGGGGGATGGCCACGTCACAATCCTTTCTCCTCCATTCTCCTCTCGGGATCTTGGGCATGCACGCACACGTGCCCGGCGTGAGTTTAAGCCACCAGGTCTAGGACTTGAACCGTGGTCGACTACATGGGAGTTCAGCGACATAGCCATTACACCAACTGCTGGTTCCACTGGAGACATTTTTGGTTGTCAAAACTAGGGGGTGTTACTGGCACCTAAAGTCCGGGGAGCTGCTGAACATCCTGCCATATCTGGACCAAAATTTCAGCAGTGCCCAGGCAGAGAAATCCTGCTCTCATAGAGGGTTTCTCTAGAATGGCCTTTTCATCAAGGGTGGATGTGAGGGCCATGTAAGGTCTCTCAAAGCTACTGATACTCTCTAGCACAAAAGTGGCCAAAGATAACGGGCCAACAAATGCGTGTGTCTGTATCCAATAAAACTTTATATACAAAAACAGGTGGCCAAAATCTGCCAAGCTTTGCTCTAGAAAACTCTGCACTTAGGCAGCTGCTCACCATACGTTAAGGAACTGAGTAGTTCTAGAATAATCTAGAGTTGCCCTATTTGATAGGACATTCTGTAGCGATGCTAAAGGTCTTATCTGCACTGTCCAAAATGGTAGCTACATGTGACTAATAAGTATTTAAAATATGGCTAGTGTGAATGAAGAAATGAATTTTTTTTTTTCAACAAAATTTTCCAGAGGGCACATTTACTTCCTAGAGACAGACAGAGAGAATGAGAAAAATGGAAAGAAAAAAAAAACCCTCCATGGGGCATGGTCACATTGCAATCCCTTGATTTTTCCTTCCTTTCAAGATTTTGGGCATGCCCAGTGTGCCCAGTGTGTTTCTCAGGCTGCCAGGTCTGGCACTCAACCCACGCAGCTGGCCACATGGGATCCAGCTTCCCCAACCACTGGACTATAGGCTGGCCCAGGACAAAATTTTAAAATTTAATTCTAAATATTTTAAATTCAAATGACATGTAGACAGCCCAGCCTGTACTGGACAGTGCAGATGTACAGAATGAGGTCATGCAGATCTCACTCCACGACCGTGAGCACAGACCCGTCCTCATGCACCAGAGATTGACAAAGAACAAACCTACTCTTCACCTAAAGTTACAGACTTAGAGTGATTTCACTGGGGCTATTTCACCTTCTTAAGGCCAACTTCAGACAAGTCCAAAAGAATCACATGATAGTAAGATTTATATGTACACCAGGATGATGCTGAAATTCCAAATCAAAAACTAAACCAAACACTACTTCTGAGATAACCCTAAATCTATCAATATAAGCAGGAACACTTTCACTGCCTCCCCTCCCCCCCTTTTTTTTTGCTATAAGGTGTATGCACTTGCCTGAGAAAGAGAGAGAGAAAAATCATCCCCTCCTACCCCAGGGGGGATGGCCATGCAGCAATCTCTTCTCCATTCTCCTCACCAGGTCTGGGACTTGAACAGTAGTCGGCTATGTGGGAATCCAGAACCTCAACCACCATCCCACCATTGGTCTCTTCACTGCTGTGTTTTTAATTTTATTTTTTAAAAATTTGCCAGAGGGCATGTGCACTCACGGGGGTGGGGTAGGGAGTGGGGTTAGGGGGTGAGTGAGGGAGAAAACATCTGACAGAGCATGGTTGAGCCTTAACCCATTTTCAGTTTCTCCACCCTGTCAGGATTTGGGGCACACATGTGCCTATTGTGTTTTTCAAGCTTCCAGGGCTGCGATTTGAACCATTTGATTGGCAATGGGGATCTAGTCCCTTAACCATTATGCCATGGGGGTGGTCGCACTGCTGTTTTATTTATAATTTTTTTAAAAGATACAGTATATTCAGGGACCAGCAGGTGGCGTGGTGGTTAAGGGCACTGGACTCCCACATAGCTCACCAAGGTTTGAATCCCGGACCTGGTGGCTTGCTTTCTCACCTCTCTCTCTCTCATTCTTGCCGTGTCCCTCTCTGGTTAGATTAAAAATAAATAAATAAATAAATAAAATAATTAAAAAAGAAACAATATATTCAACAAAGAAGTAACTATTCATGACACAAAACCACTGAAAACTATTTGTAAAGGCTAAGAAACAGTGAAAAATGCTTATGCTCAAATGCTTGATGGAAAAAGGCCATAGAGCAATTCTTTCTCATAAATATAACTATGTACAGTATATATGCATAAGAAGTTTTTTTTTTTTCTTTTCTAATTTGCTACAGGGCATGTGTGCTCACTGGAGGGGGGGGGAGGGAAAAGGAGGGAAAGTATTCCTGGTGTGTGTAAGGGCGGGGGGAATGGCCATGCCACAATCCCTTCTCCTCTGGGACTTTGGGCATGCACACATACATGCCTGGCCTCCAGGTCCAGGACAAAAAACGTGCAGTCGGCCATGTGGGATTCAGCCTCCCTAACCAGCACATTACCAGTTGTTCCTGAAATATCTAATAAAACATGAAAAGTCTGAAAATATTTTTATTTTCCTCTTTGTCCTTGGGTGGGTGAGTTACTAAAGGCAGTGGTACAAAAACACCAAAGCAAGTGATGTCATCCCAGAGCAGAGCAGAGATAATAATAATTACATTAATAGTAATAACAATAACAGCAATGACTGCAGAATGATACTTACATACCATTTACTGTAAACTGGTGGGCTTACCTACTTTGCACATATGCTCCTAATCTCATATAGTCAATGAGGTGGGGACCTTACTCTCCTCATTTACATATAAAGAAACTGGGCACACAAAGGTTAAATAGCTTGTCCAAGAGGCTAAATTTCAAACCCGGGCTTATCCGCTATGCTGCCTGTGTTCATTCATAAAGCAAATGGCCTCAACTTTCCCAATGGTGCAAACCTGCCACCTGTCTGCATCAAAATCACACACTTTGTTTGCAGGGAAGCCAAAGCCATGGGTCAGAGATGACCGCCCTCCTCCCCAGAATTTCCCTTCCTCACAAGTACAAGGCTTGCAGAAGGGCTTAAGACAGAGATGTTCAGGCGCTTCTAAGGCTATTTCACAGAGGCGGTGTGTTTGTTTTTAAGTTGTTCAACCACAGGAAGTAACCCGGGCGACTCTCAGGTACTTAACAGAGTGAGCTGGGGGCTTCTAACACGTTAATGCTATAGGTGCCGCCCACAGGATTAGTAGCTGAACGCTCTCCTCAAACAACAACAAAAACCTTTAAACAAAGTATAGTTTTTATTCCCTTTAAGTAATACTCAGAAGTGCTTCAGGGCTAGAGAAATATTGCAGGCTACATATTATATAACTAGGGGTTTCACATGTCCCAGGAAGAGATTTTACACCCTTTCATACTACTTTTAAGTTTCCTCAAGCTACCAATAAGTGGCTTCGCCTACGTATTTGTACCAAACAAATAAAAGAACCCTTAATTATTGGTTTTTCCTTCCTGAGTCTACTAGCTTCCTGTGCTAACACACATTTGATCCATTTTACACATGTGCTGAGTCACACCTGTTAAACAGAGAGGAGAAGAGCAAAAGCATGCAGCCCAGTTTCAGGTCAGAGGTCAGCTTTTGGACACCAGATGTTATGGTATTTTAAAGGAAAGCCTTCCTGAAAGAGGCTAGCAGAGTGATTACTAGTGAGAGATTGCTCCTGAAAGGAACATCTCTCAAAGGTGCAGATATACAGAAAATCTTTCAAGGTAAGTGTGTTGGTGGAAGAATCCTAAATTATAAATCAAGAATGAAGTAAAAATACTTATCTTTGGAAAAATTTATATCTTTTTGTTTTCTAGAATTGCTAATAATTATAGAAACATGTAGCAGTTCAAATATCTTTAACATTAATTTATTATAAATATTAAAAAAAAAAAATCTAACCAGAGAGAGAGAAAGCAAGAAAGCAACCTGCCGGGTCTGGGACTCAAACCATGGTCTGCCATGTGGAAGTCCAATGCCTTTGCCACCATGCCACCTGCTGGCAAAATATCTTTTTTTGAAATTTTTTTTGGGGGGAAAGTTTTTTTTTTTTTTTTTTTTTGCTATAGGGTGCGTGCGCTTGC